AAGCACACCGCAAGGATTTATGATCACACAGACAGGACCTTGGCAGCAAGCCAGCACAGTCCAGGCCTTGGCAGCAATCCAGCCTGCCAAGCTAGCCACTAGAGTTCTCCAATTTTAGTGAATACGTTGACTCCTGCAAAGGGGCGTGTGCACAAGCATTCCTTTTATAGTCTTGAGAGGAGCCTAATTACCACCAGCTGAGTGCAATTATCTCCTGTAACTGCGTAACTGTTCCTTATGCCTATTAGTTCTTTGGTGCCGGGCATCCAGGAACAACTCCCTTGACTCCTCCCCACTGCTCCAATGCATGACATCCGGATCACACTCCCTTGTCTCCTCCCCACTGGTCCAAGGCTGGGGCGGCTCCTGGTGGCCAGCCAGCCTCTCTGTACCCTGCTTGGAGTCGGAACCCTGTCCAGGGTCCTCCAGAGCCGACTCATAGGGCACCTCACTGTCGGCGTCTGGTGGCAGCTCCAACAGCTCCTGCTGGGCCACAACACAATAGCAATGAAGGCAATGATTTATGATCCGTTTTTCACTTACGTCCGTTGTAGCATCCCCTATAGTCACGTAATCAAAATTTGGATGCTTGGCAACTGGCTCATATTTATGAAGGTTGCAGTGTCCCATGATCATGCAATCCACCTTTTCCAACCTTCTAACAAAGTCAGTGGGAGAGCTATATTCATTTAACAACCATGTTATTAACTTAATAACTGCAGTGGTTTAACAATTGTGACAAAAAGATCATAAAATGAGGCAAATTTCACTTAACAGATCATTTGTTTAGCAGCAGAAATTCTGGGCTCAGTTGTATTCATAAGATGGGGACTACCCGTAATCAATATATTTTTGGTTGATATTCAAATATTACATAGATGAAACAATTACTGAGCATCTCTTATTTGTCTAGATTGACGGAAGGATATGGATCATTTTGTTAGCCCTTGTGTTATACTAAGCTCCAATTCTTACAGGAGCCTATGAACAAGTGAAAATGGAAAAGCCACTCTTTGAAAACTGAAAAAGACAAGTGTCTTGCCATCATTTTTTGAATATATTGCTTCCTTGAAAGACAGAAGCAGACAAAGGAAGTGCAAGAACTAGGAGATTGGCTTCGAAAAATCTTCTTATATCCCTATGAGAAGATTGCTCTTGTAGAATAATTCTTTCTTTCAACTATTGACCATCATGCCATATTGCAAACTGCTTTTTGATATTAAATTTTAATTTACAAAAACAGCTGTCTGGTAGGGCTATCAGGAAAGTTTTCATTGTATTTACAATTCATTAGATTCTGGCCATTGTTATCTGAAGAATTGTATTTTAAAAGCATGCCGAGTTAAATAATGGAACAGTTGGGATAGGATTAGGGTGATATATAGTGTGGAGATTACTAGATTTTATATATTAGTAGAATGTGTCAAATATATGTATTGGTTGGATTAAGAATTCTTAATATTTTAATATAACAATATTTAGGGCTAGCCATTAATGTTGTAAGTAGTTGTACCTTAATTGTTCAAAAACTCAATTGTGTCATTCAGAAATATAGTGAACATCAAGTACTCTGCTTCTAGTGAGCATCAGTAAACTAACATAAAGAAACATAACTTTGATTAGTTTGAAGACATGCAAGAGTTCTGCATTTATATTCATTGGAATCCAAAAGAATGACCAAAGCTTTATTATTCTCATTATGTGGCTAAAAGTATTAAATGCAATTTTATATGACTCTCATGGTGACGTGGATTATACTGTTAATGCACGTTTTGTTGCATAATCTGAAACTTATCGTTTACTTAATGCATATTTTTTTCTTCAAGATAAGGTAAAAATATGAATATTACAAGAATTGACGTTATTTATGATGCATGTATGTAACAATGTATTTTGTCTTCAAGGGCCGTCTCTACAAGTCCAAACAGTCAGACGAATAAAATTAACACCATTATTTACCAGAAGCAATTCCAATCAGCAGCTGTGAGAATGGCTCAACCATTTCCTCCTCAGTTTGCACCACAGGTGGGCAGCAGCTGGTTTTCTGCAGTAGGATGGGATATTCATTAGCTTGGTTATGTTTTGAATTAAGACTTCCTGGATCCTGAAATACGTCAGATATTTTATTCAGTACGCTTTCCATAATTACAATTAATACGAGTGTTTTAGTATTGGGAGGAAAGTATTTTGTTTTCAGTAAAATATATGCTTGTGAAGTTGAGAAATTGGACAACAAATGGATGACCACAGACTTCCCCACATGGCTCTCATTATAATCCAAGGTTCATCATTTGAAGGGAGAAGGACAAAATATTCTGTAAGAGAAGGGCTTCGTGTCTCCAGCAACTGTTTACAACATAATGTACTTAGAATGTCTCCTGTGCAGAAAGAATGGGAATTGTCAGAGGGCAAAGGTCTCTCTGCATAACCTCCACCATTTCACTCAGATTGTAGAGACTCGTGGTTGTTTTTCCCTTAGTTGCTTACATGAAATGCAGCTGTGAAGTAAATTTCCAAAATAGCTATAGTTGGCAGGAAAAAAAACCCCACACCAATCCCTCTTTAAAAGAATGCAAATGCTGTAAAGCTTCTTGATAGGGAAATATGAGATACTTTTGACTTGAGACTGCCTTGGATATTGCATATGAAATTTGCAGCTGCTGGATATTGCCTAGAGGCACAAATCTACGTTCTAACAGTTCCTGCATCTTGATATATATATATATCTTGAGGATATCATCTGTCCCTGATGTGCTACTGCAGTTTTTAAGCACAGTATCCTTAAGATTTTCCCATGCTGAATTTTCCCAACAGAGCCAATCCTAACATAAAAAGTGAATCCACTACTTGGCACTGTTAAATAACAGAGGCATGCTCCCTGCAGAAAAGCCACCATATGATCAGGTTGGCAGTTTGCTAACAGCTAAATGTCTCTCTTTTTTTGTTGTTGTTTTTTTCTTCCCCCACTTAGATCCTCTCTCAGCCTAACCTGGTCCCTCCATTGGTAAGAGCCCCACATACTAACACCTTCCCAGCACCCGTTCAGAGGCCGCCAGTGGCACTGGCTAGTCAGATGCCACCTCAGATGACCACAGGTCTTTTGAGCCACCCTCGTTTGCCACATGTGCCGAGGGGTCCTTGTGGATCATTCTCTGGAGTCAGAGGCAATCAGGCCCAGGCTGCGATGAAGGCTGAACAAGACATAAAGGTTAGTATTTTTGGATGGCCATGCTGTGTTAACCACAGTACAGTCTTAACAACTTGCAAGGATAAGGCAAGATGCTATACTTGGTTTAAGATTCAGATTTCCCTCTGAAGTGGCCAAATAGAAACAGCAAAACCCATCACTAAATTTCCAGCAATAGGTTTAAGTTCACCTACTTACTTGTAATGCAGTCTAAGATCTGGTCAACTGTATTCATTCTCTGTGTTTTTCCTCTTTCTTCAAGTCTAAAACTCAAGCAAAACCACCCATAGCTGCATTTCACTTCGTAAAATTGGTATAAAAGCACTTGGAGACTCTTTTCAATGAAACCTTTTTCCCTTAAAATTGAGCTGTCTTGCAAAGTCCATGTGGGGATGTCATAAAAGAAAGAAAGAATCTATAATCGATGAACTTGCGTGGTTGAAAGTGGTGGCATCACTTGCTTAATCTTTTCCATTATTTTCATTCATGAAAGAGTGTTAATCTGAGAAAAGTGAGACCACTTGATTTATCAGCACATTGCTAAAATCTTCATGTTTTACCCTGTTTTATCCAAGCCCTAGTTGGTGGGTTATTGAGTTTATAAATTAATCTGAAGTAACTTTTAATTGAATTATGTATGTGCTATTCTGTTTTCAAAACACAGCATTGGTTCCCAGGGGAAAGCATAGAATTGCATATTGTTAGTAAAAAGAACAAAGGAGTTTGGTGACGCAGTGGTTAGAATGCAGTACTGCAGGCAGTTTGAATCTCACCAGGCTCAAGGTTGACTCAGCCTTCCACCCTTCCGAGGTCGGTAAAATGAGGAGCCAGATTGTTGGGGGCAATATCCTGACTCTGTAAACCGCTTAGAGAGGGCTGTAAAGCATTGTGAAGCTGTATAAAAGTAAGTGCTATTGCTATTTCTAAATGAATATTAGATTAATAAAACTAGTTAATAAAACTAAAACTAAATAATACAGTTATTTAGAACCAGTATCCTAAATGTGCTAGTTGGCTAAACAAGAAAAAGGATATACATTTTGTACCATGCGAACCTGATCATATGGTGGCTTTTCTGC